GGTCAGCAAAAACACTGCTAAACATCACATGTTTTACTAGTTGATAGTAGGCCTGGGGAAGAGAGAGAGTTGAACATGAGGCTAGGAATCCTACCAGTAAAAGCAACACCTCTGCTACTAGAAGTTTAAAGTATGAAACCCTGTGTTCCACCCGGAATCCAAGACATGAAAAACAGTAGGCAGTTTCAAATACTGTCAAACTGTATTAAACTTAAAATGACCAAAATATGGGGAGGTTTTAGAAGAATCACGGGAAAGGAAAAAAACCGACCAAAAATTGGGCGATAGTAGTGGGAATGGCTGTCTATAGACACTTGGTGAAACGGTAGAAGAATCTGCTACCAATCGTTCAACTAACGCCTTCCAGGTCTCCAACCCACCTAACCGCTTGACACTAACGTGCGTCACCTTTGTTCAACCTCTCAGTAGTGTCCCCAGCACGACAGCCTCCACCGTTGGATGCTTGACGCCCACCAACTCAGCGACGACTTCACTGTCCAACAGGAAGCTCCGAGTGTCTCCTTCTTCAAAAGCAGCCGGCCATGGAGTCTTCATTGTTAGGAAGCAGGGACAGCAGCTGAAACGGTAGAAGACGGATGACTTATGTATCTTCAACTCACCATTTGCACAGATCTTCCATGTTGCGCTACTTCTGTCATTCCTTCCTAATGTTTCTTCGTGTTCCTTTCACGTTTCCCATGTATCTTGGCAACACTGTATCATTTGCCTTCTCTGAAATCAAATGTATCTCCCTGCTATTTGATGTTTTTTATGCCGATGAACATCTCTTCATATATATACTACTGATAAATCATATCAGCAGCATTAGCCACAATGGAAGAAAATCGATGCACAACTCCATTTAACTCTATAATCTGGTATCACTTTCAAATACCCACAAGATTTCACTTCCTCTTTCTCACGTGATCTTCTTCCTGTTAATCTAGGACTTCCAAATTGTCACTTACCAGTAGGATTCCACCTGAGGGTCTGATCTGTGTGTAATATGTTACTGGAATGTCTCCTCAGCTAATGTCCACCCATTTCCCAAATATTTCTGATTACTTTTATTAATCCTTTTTCCTTCCTATCGTCTTGTTATTATTACTACTGCCATATCTCGTGAAATTCTCACAACTTATGGCATTACTCCTACTTTTGAAGCATTTGAAATTTCAGAAATAATGATGTAATGATATCCAAATTCCAATTTGGTTTATTGCAGTTTAGGTATAATTAACTCATCTAAGATAGTTGCATGAACAGCATGGTTTAAAAATGCTGTAAATCGTCTTAAAACTGTTGATGTACCAGTTGTGTCCAAAGGTTTTTTCCGATTACTTTGCAACGTGCTTACTGCGCTAAAGATTTGTCTATAAGGTCCTAGTGGCTCAATGGTCTACGAGCTCGCCTTGTAACCAGAAGGTCCTGGGTTCTAACCCTGGTGGGTGCGCACTGCTGAAGAGTCCCAAACTAGGCCAACGAAACAGCTGTTCAGCACTCCCAGGTTTTCCAGTGGTTCTCTAACTGATGTCAGCTCGTGATGAAATCCTCCATGCAATCAATAAAAGCTTCGCAATTGAAACCTCACAGCTCAGAGAATACAACCACATCGGAAATATTTAGAGTTCCTTCCTTAAACTATAATGGTTTGAATAAATACTTTTATGAAATATTCCATTTGAAGTATGTATGTTTTAGGAAGTGAATACATGGATGACTGTTATATTATCTGCAATAGAGGAAAGAAAAATCTGGAGCATAATCTACATTTCTTCAACAAAGTTCACCCTGAATTTGAATACACCCTACAGAATGGTTCTGATTCAGAACTATCCTTCCTGGATGTTTAATTCATAAAACGTGGAAATGGAATAATGAAAAGACCCATCCACAGAAGCTGGATACAGACTACTTCTGTGGTTGATTGCCTGACTCACCGAATGAGGCAGAGGATCTGCAGCATCCACAGCCTTGATACCATGTAGGAGGAGCTGAGCATTCTAAAAATGGTTCTCATTAAAAAAGCCTACCATGAATGTTTCATCATAAAACCCGTGAAGCCTACAAAACCATAACCACACACACGTACACATACACAAACTGTACCAATAAACCTTCTTCATCTGAATCTGTAATTCACTGGAGACTCATCAGGAGAAATACTAAGAAGTCGTTTGTCCAGTTCATTAAAGAAAACCTTTTTTGCAAGCTGAACTTCGATTTACTTTGCCTAAAACAGCAATGATATGTATGAATGTGAAGGATAAACTACCAGTGCTAGCTTCATCAATCTCTACCTGTCAACTAATCTGCTCTTACGGAACTATAAAACATCTTCAGGGTCATCTGTAGAGTAAGTAGAAATCTCATCAATGAAGTAATAATCAGACTTCTTCAAAGTGTAAAAGCCTATGACTGTCGACAGGTTAACTCTTGAACTCTGTACACAGAAGGAGTTTGTTCAGGCATTAAACGTTCAATGAAGCAAATTTTTTTCAACTCTTCATACATAATTTTTGTTTATCCTTATTTCTTTTCCATATTAGATAAGTTTATTTTATATAAAACACACTGACAAAGTATTGATAACTGTGAATAATGTTTGCAACACAATTTATTACTCATAATTACATCAATGTATTCACACGGTTTCATTATTTGCTTCACTATATATATACGTTGAAAATGAACGAGAATACTGAGCTGTGTTAGATAGGAAAATAGAAAGAACACTATTATTTGTAAAGAAGTTAACGTAATCTAACTGATATTTGAAATTTACTGCATTTCATCCGTCATCTGTGAAGGCAGGTTGAGTAATAACTTCAAGTAATAAATCAGAAAACCTAAATAATGAAATGAAACAGATATTACAAGTTATAGGATTTCACCATGAGCTGATGTAGGTTAGAGAACCATTGGAAAACCCACCAGGGAGAAGTGAACAGCTGTTTTGTCAGCCTAGCTTGGAATTCTTCATAAGTAGGCACCCACCGCCAGAGTTTGAACACCGGCTCTTCTGGTTACAAGGCTTGCGAGCTCGTAGACCATTAAGCCACTGGGACCTGATCCAGTGGTCAGTCAGTCCATGAATTCTAACTTCTGCGCGACTGCTAGCCAATGTCCCACCGGGTTCCAGTGAGAAGTCGTGACGTGTAAGGTGCAGCAGGCCGAGTGTTAGGACTAATAATCGCCGAAGACATCGGCCAGTGGTCGCGCTATGTAGTGAATTGGCAGAAGTTGGAATTCATGGGCCATTGGGTAGGTTCCCACTGGGTTAATGGTCTACGAGCTCACTAGCCTTGTAACCAGAAGGACTTGTGTCCGAACTCTGACGGTGGGTGCTTACTTATAAAGAGTCCTAAACTAGGTCGACGAAACAGCTATCCAGTGCTCCCAGGTTTTCCACTGCTTATCTAACCGATATCAATTCATGATGAAATCCTCCAACCAATCTAGAAAATCTCGACAAACCAATACTGTGCGTCGGTGGCACAGTGATTAGCACTCTCGCCAACCATGCACATGGTCCGGGGTTCGATCCCCTGCCTACGCACACCCGATATCTATGGTCGGCCTGCAAAATTTGGGCTACCTATATCACATGCTGAAAATTCCATACCTGTACCAAAAATACGGTGAGGAATCAAGCTGTAACCAAAAAAATAAGTTATTAGAACTGTTAGTGCTCATTGAGCATTTATTCCATAAAACTGATTGAGAAGACAAAGAAAAGTGGTCAAAAAAGGCAAAAATAGTAATGTTACCACTGATCGTGATTTAAATAACAAGGAATTTAAGGCATCTACCCTTTTACCAATATAAAGAAGGGATATCTGAAACCCTACGTGGGATTCTCAATAAAGAAGGAATTAGGGTTGCATTTAAACCCACAAACTCACTCAGGGATAAGTTTGGTATTTTAAAGAACCCTAGTGATCCATTTACACAAATTAACATAATTTACAAAATATCTTGCAATGACTATGGGTGAAGTCAACTACATAGTTTAAACAAGTGGTTAGGTGTCAATTAGTTTAATATCGGTGCATGAGAATTTAGCTAAGTGTAGAATGATCGACCCCATGAAGACGGTACGCTAAGAGAAAATCTCAGTAGTAACAATGCATACATTAACACACAATCACACATTAGGGTGGTGGAGAACTAGCTACATTTCTCAAAAGTAGTATGGGTAGGTGGAGGGAGATCATTTAAGCTTAATTTGTCGAACCTACATTTTTCAATAGGAATGACTCAACACCAATACAAGAGGTGTATGGGAAAATATCATCACCAATCAAATCAAAGGACAAGAAATGATGTAATCATATCAAAAAAATTCAGAAAGTCATGTGAGTGTTTTGGATATGCTGGCTATGAGCAGCCATAAATTGTGTTTTTGAAGCGTCATCAGTAAATAAACAAGACTCAAGCAAATTTACTCTGCGATACAATTTGTCAGGTTGAATTCGCTTCAGATTACAGGAAGTTCTATACAAATATTGAATAACATTATTTTCTGTAGGTATTCTATTGACTTGCAAGAATTGGTTTAATAAGGATTTTGTTTGATTGGTTGGAGGATTTCATCATGAGCTGACATCATTTAGAGAAGTATTGGAAAACCTACGGGGAGTACTGCCAGACAGCTATCTCGTCGGCCTAGTTTGTGACTCTCCATCAGTACTCACCCACCGCCAGGGTTCGAACCCAGGACCTTCTGGTTACCAGGTGAGCTTTCATTTGATAATTGAGCCATTATTTTACGCTCCTCCCATTGATCACTTTTGCTAACAACCAATGAAAATCAAGGAAAAACGACTTACGCGCTTTATTTTTCTACAACATTTTTCTCCTCATAATTTGAGTTAAACTTTATCCAATTATAACATGCATTTTTCCCACATTAACCAATTATATTTCTTTTATAACTAATGTAAATTCAGTAATAAGAAATAATAATAATTTAGATTTTTCATTATTGTCTAAAAATTCTCAAATAGAAATACTCTTAAACTGCACAATTTTGTTTTATCGAAACGCTGGAATACATAAAACGTGAGTTTATCAGCTAGTTATTTGATTAAATTTTGATTTTAAGTCAATTGCCTTATTGAAAAAGAGGGCTAATACTCTGTGCATGTGTGTGAGTTTCCCTTTATCCTTGCCTTGTTATGTGACCTGTCTGTACCAAACATAGGAATAGACGTATAACACTAGGGACTTACTGCCTAGGGTCCAAACAGAGTATCCAGTAGAGTCCTACAGGAGGTCAATTGCAAGGTGGAATAGCTCACTTGACATGAATTCGAGTCCCAGGAGGGACATGAGTTCCTTCAATAATTGCAGATACGCCTTACAGATTGACTAGTGAGTGGTTACAAGCATGAAACCTAGGTGGTCCTAGCGCGGCTTCCTGCCGGTTACCTTCACCCATCTAATAAACAACCATTCAGAGTGCACTGTGGCCAATTACAGGCGTAAACACATGACACCAGTTACCTACTACCTACTGTTCAGTGGAAGTATGATTATCCCTTTATTATTGGATTCTACTCCAGCAGCAATAGAATATATATATATATATATGTATATATATATATAACATTCTCACTTATTTATATGTAACTTATTCAATGAGCAGAAAATTTCCATATTGAGCAATAATTAAAATGTACATTAAAGGTGTTGATCAGATCATTTTATTCCAACACTAAGCGTTGGTGGCACAGTGGTAGAATGTGGTCCGGGGTTCCATCGCTGGCCACCAACGCACTCCTTTACCTCGCTAAGCCAGTAATGAGACTGGTAAAGAGGGAAGGTTGGGCATGGGGTTAGCAACCCTATCCCGTAAAAATAAACACCACTGATACCGAAACTTCAAGCCTCTAGCTTGAAGCCCTATTTTCCCCTGGGAACGTGAAGGAATAAAAAAAATAAAACAACTTATTGTTTAATATCAGCTCCAGTATAGTATGTGAGCATCCACTAGTGTAATTCTGGTTGAATGAGGAGTTAATAAGGAGTGAAAATACACTTCATGAATATCTTCAGAGAGTTAGCTAGTCTTGTGTGATTTTGATTTTAATTTCATATGTCATGCTTAGCAGTTTCAAAGATGTTGTTTTTTTAGCAGAGCTAGAATATTTTAATCTGGAGTTTCCTATACTATGCGCAAAAATCACTAGCGATAGTTTCCTTTCGCTACCGGTTTGTAAACAATCGCCAGAAATTTAACTTAACTCCATTCTCTTCCCCACCCGCCTAATATAACAGAACATAGATCGTCAGGTGGATAGTGTACTGACTAGCAGTGGAATATGTCAGGTTGCACGTTTCATTCTCCTTTCCCTCCTCCTCTTTGAGTCTTACCAGCTGGATGTAACTGCCATCCACAGGGAGAAATGATAATACCAGAGTGATACGAACGAATGAAGTTCATGGATTCACGCCCATCCTTCCCTCTTTACTGAACTTTCTACTGATTAGGCGAGGTTATGATGTGCGTCAGACGAGAATTGAACCACGGACAACGTGAGTGGTTGGCAAACCGAAACACGAGGTACATATAAACAATTCATCATCGAATTGAGAACTATACTTTGGGTGAGGTACAGGAAAAGATTCGATGAGAGACTCATAAACATATCTAATCAAATCTAGGATTCAACGCTTTAATGAAACAATTTCTTATTAAATGTAAACTTTGTTATTTCAAAAAATGAGTAATTTAAATGAAGCGGTCTTTTCTTCAGAACAATGCTTCATTGATCAGATAACCTTTTTAGCTTAATCATACTGTATATAACCCTAGGGAAAAATAAACCATCTGTCTGACGGTTAACTTTGTCAAAAACTAAAAATAATACTTGTTATTGGTTTGACCGCAGATTGACATCAGTAGTTCCGCAACTGATGTCAATCCGTGATCAACCTGGAAATGAATCTAATTCCTACAAGCTGACCATTGAAAATTATTCTGATGCTCGCTAGTGACCGACTAACTGACTAACTGCCTCAAGTTCTAGTAAGAAGTTGTGACCAGTGGGATCCATCCGGTCGGGAGTGAGGAACAATACTCACCTACAACAATGACTGGCGACAGTCTCGCTAAAATCACGAATTGGTAGAAGTTAGAATTCATTAGCTGGTCACTGAGTTGGGTCCCAATGGTTGGGTTGTATACGAGTTTGCCTTGCAACTGGAAGGTCCTGGGTTCAAACCTCTGTAGTGGATGCGTACTACCGCTGAGTCCCTGCTGGTTTTCGAGGGTTCTCTAAGTGATATCAATCCGTTGTCTAACCTAAAACACATAGAATCCCTACAAAAACGAATCCTTAAAAATATCACTTCGAGACTCTGTAGAATACGTAAGAACAAACCACTGCTGTGTCGAACGTAGGAGTCCAGATTCTCCAAATAAACTTCGGCCAACAAAGATACCATTCGAATAACACCTAAAGTGATGGTACCGAAATTCCACTGCAACGCATACATTTTTTGAGAACTGAAGTAGGTAGAGTAACATTCGGTTGTAGGTCTCACTCGCTGATAATGAGTCTAGTATTTAAGCCGATATGCCTCGTCATTATTTATTTCCACACTGACTTTACTTCGTAGGATTGACTTCTTTTAATTCTTACATAACTCAAAATGTTTAACACAATAAATTATAGTACCCTACAGCCTTCATCATTGTTTTATTTATTTCAGTAATCGCCTCATACACTTCACTAAGTAAATGTTTCGTGAGTAAATAAACTAAAAAATGAATAAGAATCTTATATTTTTTCTCTAATTGTTGTAAAATCAATACTTACTCCAATATTTCACCCAACTAAATAGTCAAAAGTTGACTGGTTTTAACTATGTCGGTTCTCTGAGCTCAGTGAAACTGGATACCCCTCTGCTGAGCGCTACTGCTATCCAATGCATTTTTAGCTCACTTCGATCTCGCCCAATTAGCAAGCACCACTGGTTAACATGAACGATATCCAACTACTTACAACATTGGATCAGTAGTATGTTGCGTTGTAGATCAATATTTTGCTTAAAATCTATTTCAAATAATTCATTTGTGAGTAAAACGTGTTAACTTATTGACTTTGAAATTAATACTTGTTCATACGATGATAAAAATATTGACTAAACAGCAGTCATATGTTACGAGAAGAAACAAATGTGAGAATTAGGTTTCTGTCCATGAAAATCAACCTGAGATAATTGAAAAAAATTCGCATATCTTTAGTTCAGTTTTTTTTTAAATTTGCGTTATTTGAACTGGCTAATTTTGTACAGAAATTAACGAATCATTATGTTCACATTTGGGAGAAGAGAAAATTAAATGACTCCTTTGGAGAATTATTCTGTAGGAGTTTTATTTTGTTTCACTTTTAACCACTGATTGTCGTCAGTTAGAAAACCAGTACGGAGTGCTGAACAGTGGTTTCGTCCTGTTTTGGGACTCATTGGCAGTTTCGAATCCGGAACCTTCGGGTTGTAGGGCGAACACGTAGACCACCCAACCACTGAGGACCGATGTTATGGCCCATGAACTCTACCTACGAGAATGTCGCTAGCCAATGTTATAGGCGATTATTGGTCCTCACTCCTAACCGGATAGATCCCAATGGGGTCACAACTTATTACTAGAACTCCAGATAGTTAGTCAGTTAGTTGCTAGCAAGCATCATGTTAATTTTCAATGGTTAGCTTGCAGGAATCTGATTTATTTCATGGTTAACCACGGATTAATATCATTTAGATAATCTGGTTTTCAATGTTTCTCTAAATGATATCAATCTGTAGTCAAACTTGAAACAGTCAATTTTTATCATAAATTATTCTCACTTTAAAGAAGTAAAGATGCGATTTGTTTCAGCTCACCTAATATTTTCTTTTCAATTGGAACACATAATAATACAATAAAGTTGTATAAAAAAATAGATTATGTTGATCGGTCTGAAGCTTGTGTCCAGCCCTGATGGTTATTCTAAGTGCTTTAGAGTAAATATGGATAGCGTTATTAGAAGATGAAGTTTATCTGAAAGCAAGACATTTTTCGAAGAACAATCTGATAACACATACTTATTCTTGATTTGACGCAGGATTTCATCATGAGCCGATTTCCGTTAGAGAACAATAGAAAACCTGGGAGTAGTGGACAGCTGTTTCCTGCGTCCTAGTTTGGGACTCTGCATCAGTACGCATCCACCGGGGTTCGAACCCAGGACCTTCTGGTTACAAGGCGAGCTCGTAGTGGTTTTCTAACTGATGTCAGCTCATGATGAAATCCTCCATCCAATGAAAAACAAAATTCATACAAAACCAATACTTGAAAATTAATCTGATGCTCACTAGCGACTGGCCCTATTCAGGCAGTGACCTGGGGTTCTAGTAAGAAGCCGTGACCAGTAGGGTACAGCAGGTTGAAGATGAGGCAGTAACTCATTGAAGAAGACATTGCGAAATGGTCACGCTATGTTGTGAATTGGCAGAAGTTAGAATTCATGGGCTGGCCATTGGTCGGATCCCAGTGGCTCAATGGTCTACGAGCTCATCTTGTAACCAGAAGCTCCTGGGTTGGAACCTTGGTGGTGGACGCGTACTACTGAAAAGTCCCAAAATAGGCTGGCAAAGCAACTGGCTGCCCACTACTCCCAGGTCGTTTTCCAGTGATTCTCTAAGTGATGTCAGCTCATGATGAAATCCTCCATCCAGTCAAAAACAAAATCCTTACAAATGCAATACTTGAACATATTTATTCATATAAATTAAATATCCCCATAGTGTACTCAAAACTAGATCATTTTTGAGCGAACAGCTGTTCTCGATAATTTCTACTTCTTTTTCAGACTGTACAGTCATAAATCCCTAGAAAACTAATTAGTGATGCTGTCTGAACGACTTCGATGTCGCTTCCAGTTGGTTTCAACTAGAAATAATACTCTCTGTTAGTGTGTGGCTATCTATGCTGCTACACCTGAGCTTTTGCCACAATATCCACTGACTCTTTAGCATGGTCCATCGAATCTAATGTTCAGGCTGTTCTTTACACC